TCATCGGCCAAGGCAGTCGATCGGCAGGGCGCGTTTAGCGAGGTAAAGTGTGGGCACGGCCACCTTTTCAAAGACGTCTGGCTAGCATAGAAGAGTAGGCCAAAATATCGTAGACGGGCTCTTCTAGACCTCCCTCTCGTGGAGGCGCCTCCGCCAGCAGTGTCGAGAGCAAATTCTTTCTGGGCTGCACCTTCGCCGTTAATTAGGCAAAAACAAAATGTGTCAAAACACTTCGAATCGTTTCGATTTAAAGCTTTCGTGACTGCAATGATTCATCTTCTTTGGTTCTTTTGGTAAAGTCACGTAGAATGAGAATAAAATAATAAATTGATAAAATAAAATAACAGCGCTGTCCTACCAGACAGTCTCGTCCCTTCACCTGATGAAGGCCGCTTTTGTTGTGGCCGAAACGTCGTGAGAATATTATTGTGTTATTTTATTTTATCAATTTATTATTTTATTCTCATTCTACGTGACTTTACCGAAAGAACCAAAGAAGACTTCGAAACGTGTTTATCTATTAACAACTTGTTGACCACATGTACCGAAATAGAGGGAAGGTAAGAGTGACCAAGGTGTGAACATCTATCTCAATATTCAGTGTATCTTTCATGACTTGTGAGCGTGACATTACATCTGCCTTGAGGCTGGTGTCGGACACCGTATCTTTGTTGAAATGAAAGAAAAAGATCTACTACGAATATGATTTTGCTTCTTGCTAGCTCAGTTGTTATCGGCCTACTTAACATTTTCCACCGAAAGGCAGTTCACGTTGATTTTCTTTTACTAAATACTGTAGCTGCTTTGCTACTGAACATTGACAGGAAACCACCTTTCCGCCCAACCACAAATGATGACAAATATATAGGTGGAAATGTAAGTCGTCAGCGTAATGTTTTTTTTTAAGTGCTAACTTTAACAAAACATGGGAAGCAAAAGCTATTCCACTCAGCCTCGTAGACTGTCGTGGCCAGGTGCTCTTAGCGACCACATACAGAACTCCAATCACCCGCCTTTGTCTCCGCAGCTATTCACACATCTCACAAGGTACAGGCACTCGTCAACTTACGAACGAGTTAGGTTCCAGAGGTCTATTTGTAAGACCAACTTTACTCTTGTCGATTCCAAACACGTTGTACGGCATGTACACTAAACACGGGGAATGGATTTAAAAGTTGAATCATCTCCTGTAGATGTAGATGCCACTGGTTCTTCACGTTCTGCAGATGTAGATGCCACCACTGCCATCTATTGCGCGGAGCGGCTGAGCTTACGACTCTCGGTCCGATAGTTCTTAAGTCGAATGTTCGTAAGTAGAGGAGTCCTGTATTTAATGGCTTGTACGATTGCCACTGGTGTTCATGTACGACACTCGTGCACAATTTGTAATGCATCCAATTGCCGAACTTTAAATGTACTTTAAATGCTTCAGTGAACAGTTAGACATGGCTTCTATTTTTCCAAGTACGTTTTAAATGACCAGCATCACCGTGGAACAGCACAAAACACATCTGAGGAATAATGTAACATTTTTACGTGGTTTTGAGGTTCCAGTTCATTTGTATTTTATAATTTCCAGTAACAAAAAAGACAAAATTTAATAAGAAATGTTACAATCTGTGGAAACCTTGGGCAAGTGGTATTCACGGCTAATAGGGTAAAATTAGAAAATGTATTAACATGTGAATAAAACCAGCAATAAAAACTAATTTATTAAATAACACGTAATAATACGAGCATTTAGGGCTTCGCAGCTGCATTCCATAATGTACTGTATATCAAAAACTAAAGAATGTACACTTTATCATTTTTTAAATAACAAGGCATTTCATATTGGAAGTGGCATTTCAAATAAATTACACCAAAGGATTAAGGAACAAAATAAAAAGCAAATATGAATGTGAAATAACCATTTTTATCCAAAATGTAGGCATAAAAACTGCATTTGCCCTTCATTGCAAAGTAAAAATCTATATTTATGAGCTCTTTATTGTAATCTTGATGGGGTTGTAAACACTGGCATTTGGAAATAAAAATATGGGATGATTATGCAGGGAATTAAATTGACAAAGAGCACTTATGCCATTAGCTGTAAACGTGTGCTGATCATTTCACATATAAACTATGATTGGGTGTGCGATTGAAACCCACATTAACCCTCAACATCAGGATGAAATGTAATTCAATTGAACGCAGATTTTGAAGTGCATACTTATATGCCATTCAGAAACTGTTCCATTGGTTCGACGTTAACTTTCCAAATGGGTAATTTATACTTATCGCTTGAGCCAGAAATCCCAGCCGAAGCTTCCGACAGATTCTCATTAGTGCCTCCCAGAACCTTAGATGGAGACATTCTCACGTCACGTTAATGTATTTAATTTATTATTTTCAAGCGGAAGGGTTCTTTTGTTTTGTTTTTGCTTTATTGTAGCACGCGCTCACCCCCAAATTATGCTTGATTAAGAAGCTAAAGAGACTCCACCGAGCCCCCCTTTCGCCGTGATGTTTAACTCTACTGTGTGAGCATCATTCACCTGAAAAGAATGACAATTACTACGTCTACCGCTAGTACTTTACCATAAACCTCTGTGGCAAGCAAGAGAAATAGATCATGGATTCCCAGACCTTTTCAAATATTTATCGACGGCATTATTAGGCGCGCGTACGGGAGGCTGATTTTAAACAAAAGGGAGGCTCAATGGAAGAAAGAAAAAAAAACAATAATTTCCCGCAGAGATGGCACGAGGAATGCTGAACATGCCTCGCCTTGTACAAGCTCAACATGGACAACTGTGGTCCGTGGCGGAGATGCGTAAAAGGGCACTGGTTTATCCTGTGGCGTCTCTGAAACAGCGAGAGACTGACAAAAAAAAAACCGATCAACTATGCTCGTCTTGACAGGGATCATCGGCCTCAAAGGAATTCACTCGAGCACTGTCCTCAGCCATTATAATATCAGCGTGGGACAGAAGACACGCGTTAGCATTTGCTCGTGTTTGACACTTGTTAGCACCGTCCTGTGCGCGCGCGCGCGCTCGCTCTCGCGTTAGTTAGCGCTACTCCGGCCTCACGTCCAGCCTGCTAATAACACATTTCGTACAGTCCCAGTTGGATCAGTGGCATCTTCGCCTTTTGGTCGTGTATGGGTGTGTGTACACGCACGAGCGTGAGCATCGCCTAATGGGATTGTATACGCGTGACTGATGCATCGATTTGAGATTTTTGACAAACACATTAAAGAATGAACGTCAGAAGACATTGACACATGGATGACTAAGGTGGCGCTTCCAGAATTAATATAACAGGAGGCTTTTTTGAATGATCTTCCCTGTTTACATATACATAGAGCAACAATTTTTTTTCCCCATGTTTAGCTGCTTATCCGAAGCTTCTTCTCCATATGTAGAAATGTTACTAATAAAAATAGCGGATAAAACACAATGGCTGCAGGAAAAATCCACATTGTTCAACTTGGGAACCAAGGCTATGGTAATTAAATTTACATCATTTTAATTGATGTCAAGAGATTAAACATGAACTGTTCTGCGACTCTGCACTGAGTGACTTAGAGGGGTAGCGAATGTCCATTTAAAATAGCACAAGAGGTGTTCTTAAAATCAACATATTAATGTGAATCTGCATAACATAATGGTATTGATCGTATCAAAATACTTGGGGAAAAACTGTCAGTTAAACCTCGATTAGACTCAGAGCCAATTGCATTCCAACAGCAAAAAAAATATGACGACGGTAAGACTACTTTTGTGGAACTTTAACCAAAATGCACTTTTGTCTCATGTAGGTAAAGCAGCTTCCGTGACTTGTCGTTTGTGGTCATGTGATCAGAAGGCTGCTATGAAACAAGAACGGTGATATTTACCAAGGGTCCACAGCTGTGGTTGTTTCTTTAATGGTCGTTTCAGATCACATTCAGAACACGCATTTCTTAGTCGAATGCTTCACGAGGCCTAGTTATAGCGTACTCGGATTCACATTTGCCCCAGATCACGTGGTTCCTCGCTAAGAGAGTCAAAACAATTCCACATGAAATAGAAATATATTTATGCAGCCACAATGGCAACGTATCAAATAATGCACTCCGTTGTGTGGAACAGTTAAGGCTGCAAGGGTTCCTTGAATAACAGTCTGATTCTTAGCCACCAGTCTTGGAAATGATGGAATTGAAGCTTTGAAAAGTTACCGGCTTAAAAGGACAAGGACGAACACCAAGCCTTTCCAAGGCCCCTTGGTTGCTAAGAACAAAGCCCCCTTGCAGTAGGCCACAGCTGACAGCACCCGTTCTATATGTTGACGCTAAAGCTCTGCTTCGTGTGCCGCCCTATTCACTAACTGCTTGCGTTCCAGTTTTCTGTAGTTTGTTTTTACTGAGTAAGCTGTCAGAAGCAGAGTCCACGAGTAATGTGCTACGACTAAGCTGCATCTTATACTTTTCATAACGCTTCACGCAGTGTGTGTACTGCACGTGCGTTGCCCTTTGTAGACAACTTAAGATTACCTTTTTTTTTTAAACAGGGCTGCGACAATTCCACGGTCTGTTCTTGGTTTGTGTTGCTAATTTGTCGGGTATTGTTTAATTCTGTGAATATGTAATGCATGCTGTTTAGGGATGTGTGGTTTGTGCATAAAGTAGGGATTTAGATAAATGTATTATGTACAGTATTCTATATAAAATTACCTGTAATTGAATTTAAATATTAAAAATATGTGTGTGTATATAGAGATATAGGCCAATGTTGTAAAATGCACCATTCATGACATTGATCTTTCTAATGCAAACCAACCCTATGATTGTATTAAACCAGACTGACTTAATAACAACTTGTTGACCACATGTACCGAAATAGAGGGGAGGTAAGAGTGACCAAGGTGTGAACATCTATCTCAATATTCAGTGTATCTTTCATGACTTGTGAGCGTGACATTACATCTGCCTTGAGGCTGGTGTCGGACACCGTATCTTTGTTGAAATGAAAGAAAAAGATCTACTACGAATATGATTTTGCTTCTTGCTAGCTCAGTTGTTATCGGCCTACTTAACATTTTCCACCGAAAGGCAGTTCACGTTGATTTTCTTTTACTAAATACTGTAGCTGCTTTGCTACTGAACATTGACAGGCAACCACCTTTCCGCCCAACCACAAATGATGACAAATATATTGGTGGAAATGTAAGTCCTCAGCGCAATGGTTTTTTTTAAAGAGCTAACTTTAACAAAACATGGGAAGCAAAAGCTATTCCGCTCAGCCTCGTAGACTGCCGTGGCCAGGTGGTGTTAGCGACCACATACAGAACTCCAATCACCCGCCTTTGTCTCCGCAGCTATTCACACATCTCACAAGGTACAGGCACTCGTCAACTTACGAACGAGTTAGGTTCCAGAGGTCTATTTGTAAGACCAACTTTACTCTTGTCGATTCCAAACACGTTGTACGGCATGTACACTAAACACGGGGAATGGATTTAAAAGTTGAATCATCTCCTGTAGATGTAGATGCCACTGGTTCTTCACGTTCTGCAGATGTAGATGCCACCACTGCCATCTATTGCGCGGAGCGGCTGAGCTTACGACTCTCGGTCCGATAGTTCTTAAGTCGAATGTTCGTAAGTAGAGGAGTCCTGTATTTAATGGCTTGTACGATTGCCACTGGTGTTCATGTACGACACTCGTGCACAATTTGTAATGCATCCAATTGCCGAACTTTAAATGTACTTTAAATGCTTCAGTGAACAGTTAGACATGGCTTCTATTTTTCCAAGTACGTTTTAAATGACCAGCATCACCGTGGAACAGCACAAAAAACATCTGAGGAATAATGTAACATTTTTACGTGGTTTTGAGGTTCCAGTTCATTTGTATTTTATAATTTCCAGTAACAAAAAAGACAACATTTAATAAGAAATGTTACAATCTGTGGAAACCTTGGGCAAGTGGTATTCACGGCTAATAGGGTAAAATTAGAAAATGTATTAACATGTGAATAAAACCAGCAATAAAAACTAATTTATTAAATAACACGTAATAATACGAGCATTTAGGGCTTCGCAGCTGCATTCCATAATGTACTGTATATCAAAAACTAAAGAATGTACACTTTATCATTTTTTAAATAACAAGGCATTTCATATTGGAAGTGGCATTTCAAATAAATTACACCAAAGGATTAAGGAACAAAATAGAAAGCAAATATGAATGTGAAATAACCATTTTTATCCAAAATGTAGGCATAAAAACTGCATTTGCCCTTCATTGCAAAGTAAAAATCTATATTTATGAGCTCTTTATTGTAATCTTGATGGGGTTGTAAACACTGGCATTTGGAAATAAAAATATGGGATGATTATGCAGGGAATTAAATTGACAAAGAGCACTTATGCCATTAGCTGTAAACGTGTGCTGATCATTTAACATATAAACTATGATTGGGTGTGCGATTGAAACCCACATTAACCCTCAACATCAGGATGAAATGTAATTCAATTGAACGCAGATTTTGAAGTGCATACTTATATGCCATTCAGAAACTGTTCCATTGGTTCGACGTTAACTTTCCAAATGGGTAATTTATACTTATCGCTTGAGCCAGAAATCCCAGCCGAAGCTTCCGACAGATTCTCATTAGTGCCTCCCAGAACCTTAGATGGAGACATTCTCACGTCACGTTAATGTATTTAATTTATTATTTTCAAGCGGAAGGGTTCTTTTGTTTTGTTTTTGCTTTATTGTAACACGCGCTCACCCCCAAATTATGCTTCATTAAGAAGCTAAAGAGACTCCACCAAGCCCCCCTTTCGCCGTGATGTTTAACTCTACTGTTCGAGCATCATTCACCTGAAAAGAATGACAATTACTACGTCTACCGCTAGTACTTTACCATAAACCTCTGTGGCAAGCAAGAGAAATAGATCATGGATTCCCAGACCTTTTCAAATATTTATCGACGGCATTATTAGGCGCGCGTACGGGAGGCTGATTTTAAACAAAAGGGAGGCTCAATGGAAGAAAAAAAAAAACAATAATTTCCCGCAGAGATGGCACGAGGAATGCTGAACATGCCTCGCCTTGTACAAGCTCAACATGGACAACCGTGGTCCGTGGCGGAGATGCGTAAAAGGGCACTGGTTTATCCTGTGGCGTCTCTGAAACAGCGAGAGACTGACAAAAAAAAACCGATCAACTCTGCTCGTCTTGACAGGGATCATCGGCCTCAAAGGAATTCACTCGAGCACTGTCCTCAGCCATTATAATATCAGCGTGGGACAGAAGACACGCGTTAGCATTTGCTCGTGTTTGACACTTGTTAGCACCGTCCTGTACGCGCGCGCGCGCTCGCTCTCGCGTTAGTTAGCGCTACTCCGGCCTCACGTCCAGCCTGCTAATAACACATTTCGTACAGTCCCAGTTGGATCAGTGGCATCTTCGCCTTTTGGTCGTGTATGGGTGTGTGTACACGCACGAGCGTGAGCATCGCCTAATGGGATTGTATACGCGTGACTGATGCATCGATTTGAGATTTTTGACAAACACATTAAAGAATGAACGTCAGAAGACATTGACACATGGATGACTAAGGTGGCGCTTCCAGAATTAATATAACAGGAGGCTCTTTTGAATGATCTTCCCTGTTTACATATACATAGAGCAATAATTTTTTTTCCCCATGTTTAGCTGCTTATCCGAAGCTTCTTCTCCATATGTAGAAATGTTACTAATAAAAATAGCGGATAAAACACAATGGCTGCAGGAAAAATCCACATTGTTCAACTTGGGAACCAAGGCTATGGTAATTAAATTTACATCATGTTAATTGATGTCAAGAGATTAAACATGAACTGTTCTGCGACTCTGCACTGAGTGACTTAGAGGGGGAGCGAATGTCCATTTAAAATAGCACAAGAGGTGTTCTTAAAATCAACGTATTAATGTGAATCTGCATAACATAATGGTATTGATCGTATCAAAATACTTGGGGAAAAACTGTCAGTTAAACCTCGATTAGACTCAGAGCCAATTGCATTCCAACAGCAAAAAAAAATATGACGACAGTAAGACTACTTTTGTGGAACTCTAACCAAAATGCACTTTTGTCTCATGTAGGTAAAGCAGCTTCCGTGACTTGTCGTTTGTGGTCATGTGATCAGAAGGCTGCTATGAAACAAGAACGGTGATATTTACCAAGGGTCCACAGCTGTGGTTGTTTCTTTAATGGTCGTTTCAGATCACATTCAGAACACGCATTTCTTAGTCGAATGCTTCACGAGGCCTAGTTATAGCGTACTCGGATTCACATTTGCCCCAGATCACGTGGTTCCTCGCTAAGAGAGTCAAAACAATTCCACATGAAATAGAAATATATTTATGCAGCCACAATGGCAACGTATCAAATAATGCACTCCGTTGTGTGGAACAGTTAAGGCTGCAAGGGTTCGTTGAATAACAGTCTGATTCTTAGCCACCAGTCTTGGAAATGATGGAATTGAAGCTTTGAAAAGTTACCGGCTTAAAAGGACAAGGACGAACACCAAGCCTTTCCAAGGCCCCTTGGTAGCTAAGAACAAAGCCCCCTTGCAGTAGGCCACAGCTGACAGCACCCGTTCTATATGTTGACGCTAAAGCTCTGCTTCGTGTGCCGCCCTATTCACTAACTGCGTGCGTTCCAGTTTTCTGTAGTTTGTTTTTACTGAGTAAGCTGTCAGAAGCAGAGTCCACGAGTAATGTGCTACGACTAAGCTGCATCTTATACTTTTCATAACGCTTCACGCAGTGTGTGTACTGCACGTGCGTTGCCCTTTGTAGACAACTTAAGATTACCTTTTTTTTTTTTAAACAGGGCTGCGACAATTCCACGGTCTGTTCTTGGTTTGTGTTGCTAATTTGTCGGGTATTGTTTAATTCTGTGAATATGTAATGCATGCTGTTTAGGGATGTGTGGTTTGTGCATAAAGTAGGGATTTAGATAAATGTATTATGTACAGTATTCTATATAAAATTACCTGTAATTGAATTTAAATATTAAAAATATGTGTGTGTATAGAGAGATATAGGCCAATGTTGTAAAATGCACCATTCATGACATTGATCTTTCTAATGCAAACCAACCCTATGATTGTATTAAACCAGACTGACTTAATTACTGTGCAATATAGCCTGAAAACTGTTCAATAAATTAGCGCTTCTCCTAAGACATAAATCCAGAGACTTCTAAAAGTTCACATATATCCCAAATGAGAAAAAAAAAAACATGCCTACACGGTAACGTTTTCGTTTCTACAGGCAGATAGAAATATAAAACGCTTTCCAAATGGAACGTTTAAAACGCGGTGTGTCTGATAGGCACACGGCCAGGAGAAAGACTTCAGTTTCCAAGTAAAATATGAAACTATAAAAAAAAAGGTTTTTGTTATTATTTTACCAGGTAAGGCCCACTGAGCTACATAGCTCATTTTCAGAAGTTACCTGGCCACAAATGATAGCTCAACAAAGTGGCTTATCACGGGGCCATTCATCGCAGTCAATTTCTCTAAACGTACGTTCCTAAATGTGGAGAGAGAAACCGGAGGACTCGGAGAAAACCCCACGCGACCAACGGGGACAGAGACAGGCAAACTCCAAATATACAACAGTCAGGATCGAACCCAGGACCTCCTGCCGATACCAGGCGAGGGAGTTCACATCTTGTTGTGATTCAGAGGACACGACAACCACGTTGACACTCGCGGCTGTTGATGGACGATCTCTCCGGAGGACGCTGTCATGGGCTCGGATTTTAACGGTCCTTGCTTCGGAATCGGTTCTGCAACAGACGCGTACACGTTCACGACACATTGGCGGTGAGATTTTTTTGACTTTCAAGATTCCACGCTCTTGACGACGCAGCAGAAGAAACACGCACACATGGTTCGCGCAGTTGTATACAATCCCCCCCCCCCACCGACGATAACAAGAGCAGAAACATTAGGGAGAAATTAAACACACACTCACCAAGTTGGACATTGATTCTACCTCGTGGGCCTCTGCACTGTGCTGTGAAGGGCCATTGCCCGAAACGTCGTCTATGAGAAACGTTTCCTTTTTAAGGAGGCGTTATTGACAAATGTGTTGAGCTTTTTTCATATATATACCAAGAACCGGGTTCAGTAAACAAGAATGAACGTGGAGGTTTTATTACAGTGATACAATACCCATTTAAAAGTGGCACCAAATTCCCTCCTTTTGTATCTGTAGTCAAGTTTAGTCAACTTTGAATGACCCAAGACACATAATGGTCTAACAGCTGTGCACTATCGACCCATATTACCATGTTTCATTTTGAGACATGGACCGGGTAACATCCATTAAATTCAAAACCCCTTTATTATCCCGCGTGAAAGAGAGAGAGACCAATTAAATTGCACGATCACTTTTGAGAAGAGAGGCATTGGAAGACGCAAATAAAAGCGACTGTTCAGCTTTAAATACAAATTTCCCAGGAACTATATCGGTCAAGTGGTGCAGTAGCACAGACTGAACAAGCTTCACCACCTTTTTCATGAACAAAGACTGCCCTTGTCTGATATATGAACACCATCGGCTAACATTTCCACGTGTCTCTGTGCTGCATGACCATCGCTAATCTTTCGATGACCAAGCAAATTTTTGTAGGTGGAATTCTTGATAAATCGTGAGCAATGGAAAGAGGATTTTACTAACAGGGGGAGTAGGAACAGCACACCGCTTTGCAATGAGTAACGTGAGCTGTTTAGATTTCGGAAAAAAACAAAAACATTCTCACGATGTTGATGCTACAAAGCTGCCATTGCACAGAGCTTGGTTTAAACAAGATGCTCGCAGAGATCGCAAAACCTGGCTGGGGCTTTTTCAGTTCAGAAAAAAAAATGCGTTCATTATTTCACTAATTTCAATTGTAAGCGCTGGCTTTTGCACATCGCATCAAATGAGCAAAACTGAGCATTTCACTTTGATCTCCGCACGAGAGCAGCATCTGAATTATCCGACATCTGAAGATTCTAAATTCTAATCTGCAGACATTAACGGCCAGCGCTGTGCCTGGATCTCACAGATGAATGATAGATTATTGCTGAGCAAGTGATCGCGGTGTCAATTGCCGCATCGCGTCGCGGAGAAAGGACTTTCTCTCTCCTCCTTTTTCAACCATGATCATTGTGCCAGTTGTGCCACTGGGGGAAGGAGGGAGTGAGCGGTGGCTAACGATTGGGCTTGCTGCCGACCGCTGGGCTGAAAGGGTGGCAGGGCGCTGTGGCAGTGTTCCGTGGCGAGTGTCTCCCGACAGATGGCGAGAAGGCGAAACGCCCCTGTGACTAATGGCTACTGCGTGAAAGGAGCAGCGGCGGTGACTCCTCGGCTTTAGTCGCACGCGCTAAAGGAGCAGCAGACGTTTTAATGAAGGCCTGTTGTAAATATACGCGCAAGTAACGCGTGCGTGCGTGTGCGATGGTGTCAATTAGTGTAACCCCTATGTGCAGTGGAGGAGGTGGGGAGGAGGAGGCGCCACAAAACCCCAGCAAAACAGAGTTATTTCGAGGCACGGCTAACATCCGTGGTGTGTGACATCGATTTCAGACGCAGAAAGCCCCTTTTCACCATCATGCACTGGCAAAAATTGGTGAAGCATGGTCAATTCCCTCCCATGACCGAAATGGTACTGGGAGGAGGCCTTCTTCCGGAAGTGCATTGACAAAGGGCTGTAAATTATTGATGCATTAAATGTTTGAATGTATTCTTCATGCGCTGCACGACATGAAAGCGATGTTTCCAACTCACCACTTGATAACCACAGACTCGTATGTATACAGATATAGAATCTTATTCACTTCTCGCCTGCTCACTGGGTTATGACTCCATCCTTTGAAAAGTGGAGCTGTGCCATCTGGCTGCGCGGGACAAAGCCCTTGATGGGGGGGGTGTTGAGTGATACATCGTTCCCCCAAAACTGGTCGGTTGGTGGGTGACTTTTGGTGTCCAAACATCTGCGGTGGCACTTATCTGCATCTATTTAAGGCCGAAACAGGAGGATTTCTCCACAACTCTGGCTGCGCTTGATGATGCTGGTTGTTGTAATCACTGACAAAACATCACCGTACTCGAATTGTAAATGTTGTGGCTTTACTCTCCAACGCACCGATCTGCTGAACTAGTAACGAATTGGCACGTTTTGTTTACGTGACGAACCTTACTAATTGGCTGTGTTGGGTTTTAACGACGCATTTATATTTAGGCGATCTCGCCCAAAACACCTCTATTATAGATGCAACGTAATGTTGGATGGCTCTGCAAGCTAGAGACGTCCACGTATAGGCTGGCAATTCAGACAGCGCCATTGCAAGAGTTCAACTCCCATGAAGCTTAGAGCGCTGAATGGAGTTCAAAAGAACTCACAAACACCTTGTGAAAGACCAAATGCAGAAGATCCCTGGGTTTGATCTTCCACGAAGCTCATGGTCCACCCGAAACCGCATCCGCGCACAATCCATGCAGATGCGGATACCTGATGCACAAATGGTCATCCAGACCATACAACATACACCGACGCAATGCCAGATCCACAAATACGAAGGAGACATCACAGCGACACCACTCCGCTGCTCCTAGCGCGATTATCTGGCTTGACCACCTCAATGTGATATTTGAGTTGTTGCTCTGCATCTCCATCAGCCATACCAAAAGAAGACGATTAAAAGAGCAATTTTGGTCGCGCAACTGACCAGTTAGGCGTGGACCCACCTTTTTAGTGAGTATATATTGAGGCTGACACAGCACACGATGGCAGTGGTGTGACTGACATACCCCACCAGATGCTCATTGTTCGTCTCAGGCAACCAAGTAGAATCCCAAGCCAGGTTCAGATTCCAATTGAGCCTGTCGTTACGCACGGTCAAGATCTGGCCCTGGTTTGTGAGCACTATGGCGCAGTGTGTCCACCGGTGTGTGTCCACCCCCCCCCCCCCCCCCCCCCCCCCCCCACTGCTGTTCCCCCTCTCAAGTTACACACACTGGCCTCCGTTCCCACGTGCGACGCTGGACGGGAGGTGATGGGTGGGGCTTGATGACGTCGTTGGTGTCACCGGGCGCGTCACGCTGGCCGTGGATTTGTGGGGGGTTTCCCGCCTTCCAGAGGCTGGATGCGCGGGACGGAGGCCACTTTTTAAAGGGGCCGAGTGGTGGACCACGGAAAGTAGCCGAATATAATGTTTTGGTTGATTATAATCAATAATTATCAATAATAGTCAAGACGAATAATTGTTCGTCTTAACCGCAGAATTGCCCCAGCTTCAAGTATATGCTACATAAGCAGCAGGTAAGCAATGTTACAAATCTGAAAAGGAAATAAAAATTTCTTTGATAGCATTACGGTTATTTTTTACTCGTGTATCTTTTAAACAAGACTGCTACGGATCATATTCTGTTCCCAGAGTCTCATCGGCAAGGTGACGTCTCATAAATCAATGCCGATGGACACCCTGACACAGGCAGAAGTCACTCACACGCAACGAGAGACTAAGAAAAACAGAGCTGTGGTCATGAGAAGCGAATGCTTGAACAAACTGAGGCGTGGCTCGACTTTGTCAACGCGCTGCCTACTCATTTCCAAGGCCCTTTTATTGCAATGTGCCACAAAATAGCTTCCACATCCACTCTCTTTCAACACGTTAAAGAAACTCAGCGGCTTAAAAAGTGGTCAGACTTACATACTTTAGCCTTGGATAAATACTCCCCCCTAATTGACATCAATGGGGTCTCACTTGGGTCACATAAAATATGCTAAATTGAACAAAACCTACGATCATGTTTTTTTTAATTCTGTTAGTATATGAGAGCCATGTTCAATCTGCTGCTGACGCCAACGCTCATGGATTAGCAATCCACCAAGCACCTGCCCACCGTGGATGTCCTCTCAGGCACGTGCCTCCCTTGGCTGCCCCTCTCTCGTTATTCTCGACAAATATATAAACTCAATTTTCTTTTTTACCAGGTAAGGCCGACTGCGCTGTATAGCTCTATTTCAGACGCGGCATGGCCACAAATGATAGCACAACAAAGCGGCTTATCGCGTGGAAATTTATAGCAGCCAAATACGCGATACGCGTGTTAATTCTGAACGTGGAGAGAATAATAAGAAATATTTTGAAAAAAACTTTTTAAAAAACACGCTTTAATGAAATGTACCGTACGAGTAATGGCAGAAATCCACGACTCCAGGAAGTGACCCCGAAGCTTGCCATAACGTAAGGGGACCGTGGTAATTTAGAGGCAACGTGAGTTGAGCGTGGACAATTAGACCCAAGCCGAAACACAAGATCTAAAAAAGATTGCTTAAGATAAGAATATTTTTTAATGATAGACTATAGTATTGTCATCAGTATGACATACGTATACCAAGTTTGCAGTCGATGCGACATTGGGAAGTGGGTTAAAAATTGAGTTACAAGATTTGAGGATACGACATTCAACAACAGAGTTGAGGATACAACAACAGACAGAGTGAGTGAAATAAAAGCGTGTAAAATAAATAAAAACAGGAGAACCCGAAAAAAAATCCACGTGACTACGGGGAGAGAGAGAGACATGCACTCCAAATATACAGCAGGCATCAGGGTCGGGATCGAATCCATGACCTGCCGCATACCCTGGCGAGGGAATGAACATCCCGCCACCACAGCGCACCTGCATGAAAGTGTTACCATTATGCCGTGAAACGCTTGTTGAATTGCTTTGCTAAAAAAAAATATTTGATAAAGGGTGACATACTTCATTCTGAAGAAGGTGGACGTTTGG